TGAAAAAAGAGAAAGGTATTTGCAACTCTTATTAGACAATCGGCTCATTTTTTCACACTGCTGTCGTTAGGTACACTTGAATCACATACGATTCACAATGATCTTATAACAAGAGATGTGAACTGTTCTAATCTCATCATCTCTGACACACTGGAGTCCAATGCTGTGTAGTTACTGTGTCAACTCATCTCAATGAGGGTCTGTCTCTTTCGGGCTGACCTTTCTAAGCATGATTCCGCTTTTCCACAAAATAGCCCCTTCTAGCAACATCTCCAATGTATGTGAGAAGAAGGTACAAAAGTCTGGCAATAATGTCCTGTAAAACTATATGCAAGCATTCTCATCTGTTTGCTGGTGGGCAAGTAAATTGGAGAGGCTTACAAGGAATAATTTGAGACTATGTATAAAAATAGCAATACATGTTAACCTTCCACTCAACAACAACAACAAAAACCCCTTCCAAAAATTTATCTTATGTATATATGTTTGCATACACATAAAAAGCTACATAAACAGATTAAATATTTGTGCAGTTATTTTTTCCATTATGGTAAAATATTTGTAACATAACCTCTTAATTAACCTTTATTAAGTGTATGATTTAGTGATATTTATTATACTCACAAAGTTGTCCAATCATTATCACCATCTAAATACACAATTTTCAACATCTTTCCAAAAAGAAACTGTAGTTACTAGACAATAAATAACACCACTTTTGCCTCTCTGCACTATCTGTTGTTAGGAGGTGTCATCAACTTGAGTAGGCCTCAGAGTGACCCTATGTAAAACAGACCTGAAATCTGTCCTATCCTTTGCTATCCTCATCATCTCTGACATACTTGAGCCCACTGCAGTAATCATCGTCAATTCATTTTGTACAGAGTAGTCCCCTCTTTTCCTGACCCACCACCTTTCAAAGTATGACACTCCTCTCCAAGAAATAGCCTTTCCTAGCAACAACACCAAAGTATGTGAGACAAAGCTTCACCATCCTTGTCTCCAAGGAGCGTTCTTGCTGCACTATATACTTTTTCTGTCTCTATGAATTTTGACTATTTTAAATATTTCATGTAAGTGAGATCATACAGTATTTGCCCTTTTGTATCTGGTTTATTTTATTCAAAATGGTTTCCAGGTTTATCTATACTGTAGGCTGTATTAGATATTCATTCCTTTTTATGACTGAATAATATTCCGTCACAGGTAAGTACCATTTTGTTTTTACCCATTCTTCTGTTGGTGATCATCTGGGTTATATCTACTCATTGGCTACTGTGGTTACTGTTACAGCAAATACTGATTTACAAGTATCTATTTGAAGCCCTACTTTCAAATCATTGGAGTATATAACCAGGAGTGGGACTGCCAGATGTCTTTGAATTGTACTACTGGCAAAGAATATAGAGTACACGATCAACTGTCAAAAGAACAACTATGTCAGCTTTAGAAGAAGTGTAGCCTTGGGTGCTTCTAAGGAGCAAGGCTGGTAAAATGTGTTTCACATACTTTGGGCATGTGATTAGGATAAGCCACTTCCTGGACAGAAATATTATGCTCAAAAAAGAAGGTCAGAGGAGGAGAAGAAGACCCTCAAAAGAGATGGCCTTACAAAGTGACAGCAGGCTAAGAAAGATCAGAGAAGCATGGATGCCTCTGAGGTCAATATGAGTTGGAGCCAATTACACAGCACTTAACAATAACAATGTAAAAGGAATAAGAATTTATATATTCATAATTATTTACAAATGCATATGGAAAATATAGAAAGTTGTCAAGCTAGTCAAAACAGTTACATGCTGGCATGAAGACCGGGTGGACAGAGTGTAAGAATTAGCAGAATATATTTTTATTTTTTTTAAATGTCAAACAATACAAATGAATTGTTTCTTGACATAAATGAAAATGTACTGCTATTGAGTCAATATCATCTTATTGACTTAAAAATCATTTAAAGTCTGATGTAAAAATAAACCCAACAACTCAACCCTAAGAACTTCTGTTAAACAAGACTTTAAATGATGTGTACAGATAGATCACAAATTTGAAATGATATTTACAATTCAAATAGCCAAAGGACTAAAATATATATGTATATTAAAGATCTCCTACAAATCAGTAAAAGACAAGTAACAGTAAAAGTTAACAGTGGAAAGGCAGAGAAGACCCACATTCATTTTATAACAATGAAACAACTATCAGTCAATACACATGTAGCAAGGACCAGTAAAAACTCAAATTTAATATTATCTCAGGCTCTTGGCAACTCTGTCCATCAGGAGCCAGCAAACTAGCTGGTGAATGTTTTCCTGGAATATAGCCATACCTACTGCTTTATGACAGTCAAAACCAACACAGCATTACTTTTTTGTGGGTGATCTGCCACTATTTTCTAGCTACAATGGCTGAGCTTAATAACTGACACAGAGACCACATGATCCTAAAACACTATCCGGCAAGCAACAAATGCTAGCGAGGATGTGGAGAAACAGGAAACCTTCTTTACTGTTGGTAGAAGTATAAAATGGTGCAACCACTGTGGAAAGTGGTGTGGCACTTTCTCAAAAAGTTGCAAATAGAGATACCATTTGACCCAGAAATTCCAATACTGGGAATATACCCTAAATAGATAACAGACATCCAAGCAGATATACACACACTCATGTTTACTGCGGCTTTGGTCACAATAGCACGGAGTTGGAAACAACCCAAGTGCCCATCAACAAACAAATGTATAGAGAAGCTGTGGCATATTCACACAATGGAATACTATGCTGCATTGAAAAACAAGGAACTCATGCAATATTGTTCAAAATGGGTGACACTGGAGGACATTACACTGAGTGAAATATCTCAGTCACAAAAGGACAAATAAATACTGCATGGTGCCACTGTTGTCGAATAGTAAGACTGAGAAAAACTGGATAAATGAATGAATGGAAATCCAAAATCTCTGTAAATGTTCATTAAAATTAATAAATTTTTAAAAATACACTATCTGACACTTTAAAAAGAAATAATTAAGTTTAGCATTATCTACTGAAGCAGAAATGTACAGAATATATTTAACAATCTTTACAGTGGCACTGACTGTATTAACAAAGAAAACATAAATACCCAATGAGAAGAGAAATGTATAAATACACTGTGGCATATTCAAAGAACAGAAAAATACACGGAAGAGAAAAACGACTGAACTACAACTATACGCATCAACATGAACACCTATAAATATTAATCCTGATAATAATAATGCAAATTATGGAAAAAGATATACAGTATCATTCCATTTGTTTCATTCCATTCCACTTCATATTTCAGAAATATGAAAAACCACAAAAAAAGCATAGTAAAATGATAAAGAAAAGGAATAAATGGATAAACACAAAATTCAAGATTATAACTACCTTCTAATGGAAGAAGAGGTAAAATATTTGCAAAAAAGGAAACCTTAAATATAGTGGTATTGGTTTCTTAATCTAGAAAATTAGTGTGCATTGCTGATATTCTTTAAATCTGAATATGAAAAAATACTTTTAAAAAAAATCCTTTCATGTATAAAATAATTTTTAAGCTCTACTTTAAAAAGCAATCATTAAAAGGCCACTATTAATTTATAAATAAGGAATAAGAGAGAAGGTTAGAGAGTATTCAGAGGTTCACCATTGACTATCCTTTCAATAGTGCTATGTAATTCAATGACATAAAGGTGATTTTATGTATGAACAACATTTTAAGAAAATGGTATGCAAATAGAAGAGAAAATCTTCTAAGGAATTAAAAAAGAAAAACCAGTAAAGATAAGAAATACTGTAATTGGAAATAAATTTTATTATCATACTTTACTAAATGCATTTATAAAATGAAATATAAGAAACAAATATGAAGGAAAGAAACAAACTTTCTGGAACTATAATTAAATTGCCTCCTATTAGAAATTTATAGTCAGTTCCATTCTCATAATTTATCTCATTTTAAAAAATCAGAATAATGTACTAATTTTAATTCCTCACTTATGGTCCTAAAATAATTTAAAGAGATTCACAAAAATAAACTAATTCCATCCTCAGCAAAGTACTAACAAGAAAACGGATGTGAAAATTGGGAATAAAACAGCAATAATAAGGGAGTTCTCCTGGCTAATGACAAGAATCTATGCTGCAATCGCAAAGGCACACAGCTCAAGGCCACCAGCTGCTTCACAGGAGGAAGGAGAGTCTCTGAAAACACGCTGGAGGATCAGGTATTGGGTGGCTCCAACTCTATGGTACACAACAACAACAACAATAAAATAAAACTATGGTGAAGGCTAATATTCTGCATGCAAAGTCTTCACTATTTTTAAGTAGACTGAAACTCAATTCTGAATTTGTGGTAAGGGGTGGCACTGCCAACTCAAAGGCACAAGGTTCGAATCCACCAGCTGTTCCAAGGAGAAAGGAGGATGGGTAATCTCCCATGCAATTTACTGTAAGTGAAAACTTAGAGGGTAGGCCATAAATTGATTTCAACTTGATGGTATGTAACTGCATAACAATACAATAAGGTAGGAAATACAACTAGCTAAAACAGAAGTTAAATCATCTGCGTAAGAATATTTATCAGCTTGACTTGAAATTATGTTCAGAGTGGCCTAGTGGGTACGGAGTTGCACTGCCAACTCAAAGACAGATGGTTTAAATTCACCAGCTGCTCCTAGGAAAAAAAGATGGGCAATCTTGTCCTGTATTATTATTTACCATCTCTACAAACCAAGTGGAAGTTAAACTATGAGTCAATTCTGAATCTATGGCTAGGAAAGAGAGTTCCTTATAAAGGAAAATGAAACATTAACTATTAAGTGACCAAAATACTATCATTTAATAAATAATTCTTCATTAGGGGTCAAGGATTTATGGAAAATATATAAAAATGATCTGCCAAAAGTTATTAACAATATTAATAATGATATTTAGCATCTAAAATAATATGCATATAGTAGTCTTATAAAATTTACTGACCTTCCTGAACTGCCATGTCCATGGGTACTCGAGAAGTTGAATGTAGGAGTTTTTGGTAATTCTGTGCATTTTGGTCAAACAACTGTACAAGAAGAGTGCATGTCTTTTCATATTCACATCTACTGACAGTGCACAACTGCTCCAGCTGCTGAAACACAGTAGCGGTATCATCCAGAGGATCATCTAAATTATCTCTATAAACATATAAAAACCAAGTTTACAAATGACATTAGAACATCATCAACTATTCCAAACAAAGTAAGTTTCATGTATCATAAGTAAAATTCTATGATGGACAAAGAAATAAGAAATCAACTTATCATAAAATAATAAACTATTGATTGGATTAATTCAATGACTGGGGTAGTAAGGGTAGGTGTGTCAGAGACAGGAAAGTTGGCACAGGATAGACTAGGTTTCAGGGCTATTGTACATAGTGTTGCTATGAGTCACAAGCAACTCCATGGCACCTATCAACAAACAACAATAAATTATCTATATTTGGAGAAAGGTGTCCTAGTGGACTTTGTGATTAACCTCTTCAGGGGCTAATCCATAGGTTCAAATCCACCAGCTACTCATCAAGAAAAAGATATGGCAGTCTGCTTCTATAAGGATCACAATCTCTGAAATGCTATGAAGCAGACTCTGTCCTACAGGCTCACTATGCATCAAAAATAACTCAATGGCAGTGGGCTTTTTCATTCCTTTCAAAACAATAAAACCTACATAGAACATCCTATAGAATCCTTATTTTTTTTTAAAAGGCAAAAATGTCAAGATTACAGAACAAAAGGGTTAAAGTATAATTCAATTGTACTTTTATAGCCAAGTGACCTTTAAAAAAGGGATGAGAGAGTTTAGGGGTGCCAATATCCCAAGCAGTCAGAAATAAGGATATAATTCACAGTTAACTCATGAACAACATGGGTTTAAATTACACAGGCCCACTTATACCCTGAATTTTCTTTCTGTTGGTATGGTGGGGAGTTCAAGTACTGCAAAAGTGAGCAGTACATTTCTACAGTAAATTATACCCTAGAGATGAACTACTCCATGGAGATGATTAACATCACATGACATTTTAAGAAGATACAATACTTGAGCACACTGCAAAAGCAACAGGAACAAAAATCTGTACACAGGTGGACTGACCAAAGCAGTTCAAATCCATGTTGTTCACAGTCAACTGTATCTCAAGGAACAACTAAAATTGGATTTGAAAAACAGTAGCATAGGCAGCAGAAAACAAAATACGAATTCATTCTAAGTGTACGGAAGCTCTGGTGGCCTGGGAGTAAGCAGATGTACGGTCAACCCAAAGACAGGTGGGTCAAGTCCAACAGTCACTCTGTATGAGGGTCAACTATGAATTTGATTCTCTGGTTCATAACAACCACAACAACAAAGTGCACGAAACAGTTAAATGTAAATCAGAAATTACTGATTAAAAATGTCTAAATATATGAGAAAGGGGGGGGAAGTAAGTTCATGAGCTGATAGCCTCAAACTTGTCAAGACGTTAATTCTTTTCTCAAATTAACAGATTTAATGCAATACTAATAGAAATTCCAAACTTGTTAATTAGAAATTGACAGGTTGATTCTAAAATTTTCAAAGAAAAGCAAAGGAATTAGAATAGTAAAAATAATTGTGAAAATGAAAATCAACTTTGAAGAGTCATACCACATGATTTCAAACTTTATTATGATGCTACAGTAACCAAGAAAAATACTGGTAAAAAGGCAGATACATTGATCTTAGAACTAAATATAGCTCTTAAAACTATAAAACATCTAAAGGGGAACAAAAGAAAATCTCTGACTTTGGTGTAGGCAAAGATAGCTGGGACACCAAAATCTACAATATGGCAAAAAACAGGATAAATCGGACATCATCAAAATATAAAACTTCGGCTCTTGCAAGACTGTTAGACTTCCAGATAAGATGGCAGACTAGGCAGATGAGAATCCGTAACCCTGAAAATAGTACCAGCAAATATGAAGGATAATTCTAGAACCCTGAGTCAAAAGGAAGAGATAAAGAAGTACTTCAAGCAGCAAATGAAGGAAGAAACGAAATGACATCATCAAAGACACTGGTGGAACACACAGACATCATGGCCTGGTCATTCTGAAAGGCAGTTCAGCTGGCTCGTAATTGCAGTGGTGTCCACACTAGCAGTTTTCTGATGACAAGAAAGGTACAATCTCCACTTTTGTTCATTTGACCTCCTGAGAATCAGGAAGCAACTTTCTCCTACAACTGTCACACACCAGATGGCTGGCAGTGTTACCTCTGTGCATCTCACCTCCACCTGTGGCCAGGTTCATGTCATTTTATACATGACTGAGGGAGCATACTCACAAATCTACCTCCTTCAGGGGTCCACAGATTGTGTTGTGCTTGGCCTGCCATACTGAACTGTGGCAGCATCACCTCGGATTGGTGTCCTTGTCTCTCACTGTGCATCCTGGTGGATACCTCACTTCCCATACACCAGTCACATTTGGAGCAGTGCATTCTCATGGAGGGTGCCATCCTGGACATCTCAGACTAGCAGTGACTATCTCTTCATACTAGCCATCACTGTTTGATTACCCTGCCAGCATTCAAATCCTGAACTGACAATAGCAATATCCCTAGCTAGGCGGACTGTCATCACTTCTGTTAGACCAGCAGAAATTCTAACCCAGGCTGAGTGACCCATTCCTCACCACGCCAGAGACCAGAGGAAGTGTTGTTGTCCTTAACACAGCTAAACCTCAGTCACCTCCCAAATGAGCAGAAGTTCTGACTAGACTGGGCACCCTCATCTCAAACTTCTGTTGAACTGGTAGACAGACTCCCGACCAAACACCATGATTCTGCCCACCATAGCAGCGGCAAGAACACTAAGGTAAGAGGTATGCAGCTGACCCTCTTCGAAAGTCATATCCTTTTCTCTCTCTTTCATATTTCTCATTGTTTTATGGGTTTCCTTGCTTGATGTTTATCCTTTTTAGTTCGTTGTAGTTTTCTTTTGGGGGAGTGGTGTTTTTTCTGTATTCCTGCTGGCCTTTTCTCCCCATCTTCATTTTACTTTTTCCTCTTTCATACCTTTTAATTCCAATTCTCATTCCTTCTGTATACCCCTCAGTTTCGGTTTTTCTATTTCCTTACATTGCCTAATAATGTTTTTGGTTTGGGATTTTTTTTCTTGTTTCTTTTTTATTTAGTTACCCTTTTTTCTTTCTCTCATCTGGCAACAGACAACAACATCCATCTGATCATCAAAAGACTGCAACTACAGGGGCTCATTTTGTCCGGTACTCCTCTACACAAGCAGTAAACTGCACACAAACCTCCATCCTCTACCAGACCCACCAGAAGATATTAAGAAACACTAAAAAGTAGCAAGTGGTACAAGAATGCCACAATGTCTCAGAGGCAGCAAAACAACTTCAAACCACTCAAAAAGTCAGGATAAAATGACACACAAAATTAATCAGAATAAATATCTAGAAAACCTTTCACAGGAGGAAAAATTATTGGAATTTCCTGAAAAGGAATTCTAAAGATCCATTTAAGTGTCTTCTATGGTTGGAGAAACACACAGAAAATACAGAATTTTAAAAACTATGAAAAAACAAATAGATACGTTAAAAATTAGAATCAAGAGTCCACAATTAAGGTTGCATAGTGGAATGTACTTGGGGCGGTGGGAGGGGTGTGGAGGGATTGTGTACCAGGGAGGGAGTCTTTCTTTTACTTTTGAAAGAGAGGAGCAAACTGGGGGGCAGGGGGAGAGGGTTG